GGGGCCAGCCGAACGTTCCAGACAGGACCACAGATCTGCTGCAGCCCCTGCCTACCCAGACGAGACACCCAGGTTCCTCTGCAACCATCGAAACCCACCCTTCCCTGCCCACCGCCGCAGCTGCGTGACACAACCCTGATCCTGACCGAGAAAGCAGATGACTCATTAAAAAATGAAGGAAAATAAGAAAGTTACCTTTGGAGAAGCTTCTCTCTCCCCCAGCCTCCTACAGCAAGTGCAAGCAGGCACAAGCCCTTCCTGACATGGCTCGGAGCGATCCCTCCTCCCACGAGAGGATTGCGTGGCCGGGCCCCGGGGCGCCCGCAGACACACAGACACATCCTCGCGCTGTGAGCACACAAGCCCTGGATCGCCGCGTTCAGCCGGGGCAGTGACTCAGCCGCCCGTGCAGGATTTGAGAAACCACGCGGCTTTGCCCACGTTGGGCGCACGAGGCCAGGGCGACGCTTCCAACGTGCCGCAGCGTGCCGGGAGCCGACGAACACAGCCCACGCTACGGTCCGGATCCGAACAAACCCCAGGCCGGCAGCGCCCACAGGTGGGAGGCAATCAGGGGATGGATTTGCACAGGACAGGAGAAAGCCCAGTTCCTCCACCGCTCCCAGCATCGCCTCATCCCACGCCTTGCCTGTCTCCGGGCGCCTCTTCGGCAGCCTGCCTGCACTCCCCTGCTAGAGCTCGGGGGGATCTGTCCCCACAAGCAGAGAGGCCATCGTGCTGGGGACCTGCGGCAGAGGACGGGCAGGGTTGCCCAGGAGACTGCAGGGACTTGGTTTATTATTTAAATTCTGAGTGTTTATTTAGTAGTTGCAAAATATATCGTTAAAAAGGCTTAGCACATGGATTCTTACCAGACATGAAGAAATCCCACCTATTGCACAGTAAAAGTAATTTTCTACTCTATAGTGAGTAATTGCATTTAATAATAATTTTTAAATTTACCTTATTGAAACTTTAATATTTCTAAGGCCCTTTCACCTTAAACATCTCCGTCATCCTCTCCCCAAGCTAGAGCAAGCCCCGGATTATCTCCCAGTGCAAGATTGTAGCAGACCCAGAAGCTCGAACACAAACGAGTACGCACGCTCTTTCAGCAACTGTTTTCCCTTAGAGGAATCTGACCAGGAATGGGCTTGTACTGGTTTTGGCTGGGACAGAGTTAATTTTCATCATAGTCGCTAAGTGTCTTCACAGTGCGATGGTGCTGCGCTTTGGATTTGTGACCAGACCAGTGCGGGTAACACACCCCTGTTCCTGCTG